TGCCCGCCAACAGCATACCTACTTTTGAAGGGTTCACGTTTGTCAGCCATTTTGGATATCAAAAAACGTTAAAAACAATAAAAAAAAATTTTTTTCTTGTACTTCCAGAGTGTATTTATCATACCCAACAACTTTTATATGTATATGTATCCTACAAAGCCTAAAAAAAAATGGTGAAAATAGCCTGTTTTTTCGGTGTATAAACCAGGATGAACCCTTAATAGTATGTACCCAAAACTCCTGTCTTATATTTAGTGCAACTTTTGCAGCAATATTACTAAGTTTATACTCATATAAAGAATGTTACACAAAAATTGATTAAATTGATATCTTTACGAAATAAAAAAATGTTGTGTGCAAATCACCCAAGTTAGAAATGAATCCTTCAAAAAGCAAGTTTCGAGAGAATGAGACGAATGCATAGTATCAGGAGTAGGATAATTTATGATATAGTATTATTATAATATTATTTTTCTATATTTCTATTTTCAGTAAGTTATATTATTTTTATTGGAAATATAACAGCAAGTATTGTGCATTTTTTTAAAGAACATACCACTTTTCTTTTATTTAAAAATGTTTTTATTATATTGAATAATTAGTATAAAATTCTATAATACACAAGTATTATAAATAATTATATAATTTTCTTATATGCCTGGGAAAATACTTGTCTTTGGGATATTTATTATAAAAACATATAAAAATAAATTCAATGGATATACTTAGAATTTTATAAATCAAATACTTTTTATGAAAAAAACCCCCCAAAAATGTGACAATAATTTACTTGTTTTTGAACAGAATTTTTGAGCTACTTCTAATGTATCTTCTAATGTTGCTTATTTCTTTTTCTCTGATTTATCTTGTCATCATTTTTTTTTGTAAAATATTTCAGGCAATATATATAAACAATTTTATGTAAATCCTTATTATTAATTATGATATTTGCGAAATAAAGAATTTAATACTAATTTTTTTTAAAAATAGAAACCTTTTTGAATAGAGAAGATATGACACGTTTTGTAAAAAAAAACTATAAGCATGAATATTATCGAACTGATAATAAACATTGGGAATATAGATTAAATTTCAACGGACTCTTTCTGTTTTTTATAATTCTGTTCTCATGAAAAGGAACCGACTTTGGGGTATAGGTAGCTGACAAAAACTAATATTTTTAAAATTCTATCCATTAAGATGGAATGCTAAATGCGATTCATTATATAGATAAAACAAAGATAAAACAAATATGATATATAGATAAAAACAAAAATGGTAGAATGTTTGTCGGTGGAAAGATATCCTATCTTAACCTAAGTAAATATAATATATTTTTTTCAAACTCAGATGGATAAATTTTTTTTCTTTTGCACTTTTCACACTTTCTGTGAATGTGAGATATCTTTATTATGGGTTAACACACACAAGTATTTCTTTTTGTGTTGCAACTAATACCTGAAGATGCTCTAAAAGAAGGGAGCAATTCTGGTCGTATGATTTTCGTTTCATCGGGTTTTGAATTACAACAATTTTAATATCTATTTATCATTTCCGTTGCTTTATTTTATAATATTAAAAATTTTTTATAAAAAACTTATTTTCTATATTTTTTTCCATATTTGTAAAATAAGTTATATTATTATATTCTTATTGGAAATATAAAGTAATTAAGGTTTATTTGTTTTTGTCACGTGTCTAGTTTCTTCTATTTAAAAACTTTTCTATTTTATTGAAAAATTAGTATAAATATCCTAAATACGCAAACAATATAATAAAAAAACATGTCTTTGGATATTTATAAGAAAAATATTCTACAGTGTTGTCTAATTCATTTTCTCTGATGTATCTTGTAATCATTTTTTTTTTTTTGTAAAATATTGCAGACAATACAATTATTATATTCTATACATTTTATAATTATTAGTGATAACATTTGCGAAATTAAGAATTTAATATTAATTTTTCAATAAAATAGAATCATTTTTAAATAGAAATAGAAAATAGAAATAGAAAAATTTTTTTTTTTTTTTTTTTTTTNTGCAGCGATAGTGGAAAAGAGATTAAGGGAGGATGCAGAAAGGTTAAAATTAATTCCAGAAACACAATCAGGATTTAGAAAAGGTAGAAGTGGAATAGATGATATATATATTTTGAAGACGGCAGTAGAGAAGGCAATAAACAAAGAGAAAGGAGAGCTTTTCATAATGTTTGTAGATCTGAAGGGAACCTTTGACAGGGTAAATAGGGAGAAATTGGTGGACTATTTGGAGAAAAAGATGGTGGGTAAAGATATAATTTACAACGTAGGGAAGATATATGAAGAAACGAAGAGCAGGGTAAGAGTAGGGAAGAAGATAACAGAGGAGTTTTGGACTGAAAAAGGGGTGAGGCAGGGGTGTCCATTGAGCCCACTCTTGTTTATTATATTTATTGCGGACATAGAGGAATATTTACGGAGAAGACAGGAGAAAGGAATAACGATAGGAGGGAAGAGAATATACACCTTGGCGTACGTAAATGATCTGGCGATAATAGCGGAGACGGAGGGGGAACTAGAAAAAATGATGGAGAGCGTGGGGAGATATTTCAAGAGGAAGGATCTGGAAGTAAACACAGAAAAAACGAAGGTGATAATGTTCAGTAAGGGAAGGAGCAGAAAGAAAAGAGAATGGTTCTATAATGGTGTGACGTTCCGCCACGATTCGCTACCCAAATTTTTCGCAGTGATTCAAATCCAGTTGCGCGAGACATCTTTCCAGTAGTTCACCAAATAACAATAGAAACAATTATAAGTAGTACAGATAGAAGAATAATTATGACTCGTAACCTTCGAACATTCGTTCTCTTTATCGAAATAAACTAGTGGAAGGACTGTCCCGTGCAAAGCACAAGTYGGAACGATAGAAACATCCCTCGAAGAATGTTTTCCTAAAAAGAATAAATACCGGTTTACGTATTAAACTCCGACGCCACTCCAAGATTTTCCGTGGCGCCAGTAAT